TTTGCTCTATTTTTCTTATTTCGAATTTCTCAGCAAATGTGTCTTGAGATAACTTTTAGATATTAAAAAGGCGCAAATTTTTGCTGCACAAAGCTTGTCAATATCTTTCGTCGATCAAGAGTTATTGACGTTTTTATACTAAAAATATGCACTTTTCAAATGTTAATATCTCTGGTTGGGGCAAACAAAAAAAAAGTTTATTGGCAGCATTTGAAAGAGCGTATGTTATTCTCAATAATATGAAAAAATTGGAGGTATGTTATTTTTTAAACTCGTATAAAATCAATTTGAATTAATTCATATTTTTTAATATATTTGAGTATATCTTTTTTATTAGAAGAGATACAGGCAACAAATTCAGCAATAAAACATTCGTCTTAAAGAGTTTTAAAAGTCTCTAGAAGATGACTTTCATGATAAATTTCAAATAAAATAGTTATTGGCAAAAGATGGATTTCATAGGACCACTCTAATGACAATTTTATATAAAATGAGATAGTACATTTGTTTCAATATTTGGAAATTTAGTGTCTTCGAAGAAGTTTTTGTTCTTAAAAATTCCCTTCTTTTGGTGTTTGCAGACGTCAGGGTGGTCCTCAAATTAGGGAATTTTTAAAACTAACTTTTTTGTTTTACAAAATATAAACATGTGTTGTTCAACAAAGTTGTAGTTAAGTTACTTGCAAGCAACTTTGTCGAAGAAAATTTTTTTCTATCTCTTAACGTTCTCATTTTAGAGTAATTTTTCGGAGTTGACTTAGGGTGTTCCTGGAAAAAATAGTTTTTTAGCAATAACTTTTTTATTTGAAAATTCTCATGAAAGTTATCTTCTAGAGACTTTTAAAACTCTTACAGACGAATGTTTTATAGCTGAATTTGTTGCCTGTATCTCTTCTAATAAAAAAGATATACTCAAATAAAGTAAAAAATATGAATAAATTCAAATTGATTTTATACGAGTTTAAAAAATAACATACCTCCAATTTTTTCATATTATTGAGAATAACATACGCTCTTTCAAATGCTGCCAATAAACTTTTTTTTTGTTTGCCCCAACCAGAGATATTAACATTTGAAAAGTGCATATTTTTAGTATAAAAACGTCAATAACTCTTGATCGACGAAAGATATTGACAAGCTTTGTGCAGCAAAAATTTGCGCCTTTTTAATATCTAAAAGTTATCTCAAGACACCTTTGCTGAGAAATTCGAAATAAGAAAAATAGAGCAAAAAAACTGTTTTTTTAAGAGCCACCCTAACTCAATTCAAGAAAATAGCTCTAAATCGGCCAATTTAAGAGATACAAAAAAGTTATTTACAACAAAGTTGCTTGAAATTAGCTCAGCTATAACTTTGTAGAAGAACGTATACCTTAATTTATTCAAACAAAAAAGTTAGATTTTTGATTTTAATGATAATAGGAACCACCCTAGAATTCATTGTCATAAAAATGAGGGCCTAACTATAAGGAACAACTTTGTAGAAGAGACTTTTAGTCTAAAGTTTCAATTTCAGGCTCAAAACATATCATTCCAGCTAAATCTGCATTCTGTACCACTGTGCAGTGGTGTTACAAACCTGTGTTTCTCAGCGAGAATCCCGAAGGAGGAGAAGCCGAGAGCGAAGGAAAGGGCATTCGTAAATACGCACGCTGCGTGTGACCGGAGGAGTACGGTATCGTCCAGTAATCAACAAAAGAGTGACCGTCGAGAGATGCCAACGGACGGTAAAAGCAAGGAAAGTGAAGGTGAAAAACGCTGCCCGATGTGCAAGGCGATGGATCACGTTGTAGCGAAATGTTCATCATTCAAGAAGCTATCGTTGGATGAACGTTGGAAAGTGGTGAAAGTGAACAAGCTGTGTCGTACATGTCTCATTTCGCATACTCGCTGGCCATGTGAAGGTGAGGTTTGCGGCGTCAACAGTTGCGAAAAGCGCCATCATCAGCTACTACATTACGAGCCCGCTGCAGGACAATCCACGGTTACCACCAACGCTACTATCACCATCCATCGTCAGCCCGTTTCGTCGACGTTGTTCAAGATACTTGCGGTGACGTTATACGGGGAGAATGGATCCATTGATACCTACGCGTTTCTGGACGATGGATCATCGGTTACCCTAGTAGAAAAATCAATAGCGGAAGAACTCGGAGCTGATGGAAAAATGCAATCCTTGTGCATTCAGTGGACAAGCGGGATCAACAAAAAGATTCCCACTAAACAACTGGGAAAGCTGGGAATATCAGAACCCGGCGGTAAGAAGCGATTTGATGTATCGGAGGTCTACACCGTCGAGAACTTAGGGCTACCGGAGCAATCGTTGGACTTTGAAAGCATGGCGAAGCAGTACAAGCATTTCCGAAACCTATCAGTCAAGAGTTTCCAAAGGGCCGTTCCTGGTGTGCTGATTGGGTTGAACAACACTCATCTAATGAATACGTTGAAACTACGGGAAGGAGAAGAACAAGAGCCAGTCGCTGCGAAAACTCGTATCGGATGGGTAGTCTGCGGCTGTCTACGAGGGGGAGCTCATCAATTTCAACACCGGCAGATGCACATATGCGTGGAGCCAGCGGAACTCGATCTGCATGACTACGTACGGGAATTCTTCTCTGTGGAAAGTCTAGGGGTCTCTGTGGCGCCGAATTTGGAATGAAGTGAAGATCAGCGAGCTCGTCGAATCCTCGAAAAAACGACCGTGAGAACATCGAATGGGAAGTACGAGACTGGACTACTGTGGAAACAAGACATCATCGAATTCCCGAATAGCAGACCGATGGCCGAGCGTCGTCTGAAATGTCTCGAAAAGCGTCTTGAGAAGGATCCGCAACTCTACGAAAGCGTACGGCACCAAATAGCGGATTATCAGGCGAAAGGCTACATCCACGCGGTAACGGAGGAAGAAATGTCAGAGTTCGACCCACACCGCACTTGGTACCTTCCTCTCGGAGTGGTTTTGAACCCTAACAAACCGGGAAAGGTAAGAGTGATATGGGACGCAGCGGCAAAGGTAAACGGAGTTTCGCTGAACACGATGTTGCTGAAAGGTCCTGATTTGTTGACACCACAGCTGTATGTTACGTTCAAGTTCCGTGAACGGCAGGTGGCATTCTCTGGTGACATCCAAGAAATGTTCCTGCAGCTCGGGATTCAGAGAGAGGATCGGAGTGCGCTGCTCTTCGTGTTTCGCAACTCACCGTCCCAGTCTATGATTACGATGGTATTGGACGTTGCGATCTTCAGAGCGACTTGTTCTCCAGCCCAATCGCAGTATGTCAAGAACCTAAATGCAGCGGAGAACGAGAAGGAACATCCAAGAGCGGCGGCAGCAATCAAGAACAGACACTACGTTGACGATTACTTGGACAGCGTAAACACGGAGGAAGAAGCAATCGAGCTAGCTCTGGATGTGGCGGAAGTCCACCGGAAGGCAGGTTTCCACATTCGTAGCTGGGTGTCAAATAGGCCCAGGTGCTAGAGGCTATAGGAGAGGTTAACCCAGCTACAGTCAAGAATCTCGCGATGAATAATCAGAGTGGATTTGAGCGGCTACTAGGGATATCTTGGCTGCCGGGCGAAGATGTGTTCTGCTTTTCACTTAGCCTACAAGGAGATCTTCAAGGACTGGTGGAAGGCACGATCGCACCAACCAAGCGAATGATGCTAAGCTTCGTTATGAAAATCTACGATCCGTTGGGACTGGTAGGATCGCTGATTGTCCAGGGGAAGATCCTCATCCAAGAAGTCTGGAGAGCCAAAGTGGATTGGGACCAGCAGATACCGGAGGATATTTTCAAGTCATAGAAACTCTGGCTACAGGCGCTGAAAGAATTGGACAACGTGAGAATTCCTCGTTGCTACATTCCGGGGTACGATGCCAACTGTTATGATTCTCTAGAGCTGCACATATTCGTTGATGGCAGTGCACAAGCATACTCCGCCGTCGCTTACTTCCGAGTTCAGGACCAGGGATGGATACGGTGTGCTCTAGTTGCTTCAAAAACTAAAGTTGCTCCTCTGCAATTACTATCAATCCCACGCATAGAATTACAGGCAGCAGTTCTCGGGGTGCGTCTTCGAAAAACTATTGAAGAAGGTCATTCCATCCAAGTGAAGCGCACATACTTTTGGAGTGACTCCAGTACGGTTATCTCGTGGATCAGATCGGACACTCGTCGGTATCGGCCGTATGTTGCCTTCGGAGTCAACGAAATTCTCAATCATTCGAGGGTCGAGGAATGGCGATGGCTGGGAACAAGGATCAATGTCGCCGATGAAGCTACGAAGTGGGGAAAAGGGCCGAACTGTAAGCCAGACAGTCGGTGGATGTGTGGACCTGCGTTTCTCTACGATAAGAAGAGTTAGTGGCCGAGCAGCGAATACGAAGTACCGGAAGTAACAACTGAAGAATTACGATCAGTATACATCTGCAGTCACTTCCTAACAGTTCCGATCATTGAGGTGGAACGATTTTCCAAATACGAGCGGCTGTTGCGGAGCGTAGCATACGTTTGCCGCTTCCAAGAGAACAGTTCGCGACGAGCCAGAAGTACACAGCACGGAGCGGCGGAAGAGTTAAGCAGTGAAAAATTGCAGAAAGCAGAGCGGAGCCTGTGGAGACTTGCGCAATCGGAATGCTTTCCAGACGAGGTAGCTACTCTGAAAGGGAACGTACAATTGAAGCAAGAACAGCAGAAGGCGTTGGATAGAAGCAGTTGTATAGCAAAGCTATCTCCTCTACTCGACGAGCACGGAGTTCTACGCGTAGATAGCCGCATCGCTGCTGCCGATTTTGTAGCGTACGATACCAGATACCCTATAATTCTGCCGCGAGGACATCGGATTACAAACCTATTGCTAGATTGGTTTCACCGCAAATTTCGCCACGCTAACAATGAGACGATTGTAAACATTGCAAAGCTGAGAACACAAGTACGGTCTGCAGCACTCCGATGTCAGTGGTGTCGCGTGTATAAAGCGAAACTAGCAACACCAAAGATGGGTCAACTACCTCGGGTTCGGATTACACCATTTCTACGGCCGTTCACATTTGTAGGGATAGATTATTTTGGACCCTACTTCGTGAAGGTAGGGCGAAGCTCCGTCAAGCGCTGGGTGGCGATTTTCACGTGTCTAACCGTTCGAGCAATACACCTGGAGTTGGTCTTCAGCCTAACAACTGATGCGTGTAAGAAGGCCATTCGACGATTCATCGCGCGAAGAGGAGCACCACAAGAGGTGTATACGGACAATGGAACGAACTTCTGCGGCGCTAGCAGGGAGCTGGCAACAGAGCTGCGGGAAATCAACGTAACGATGAGTAGCTGTTTTACGGATGCCAACACTAAGTGGTATTTCAATCCACCCTCTGCGCCCCACATGGGTGGGTGCTGGGAGCGCATGGTGCGGTCCGTGAAGACTGCACTGGGATCATTGCCAACGTCACGGAAGCTGGACGACGAGTCTTTCATAACCCTCTTAGCCGAAGCAGAGCATATGGTGAACTCACGGCCATTAACGTTCGTGCCGTTAGACAACGAAGAGCAGGAGTCGTTGACTCCGAACCACTTTCTTATGCTGAGTTCGAGTGGAGTTCGACAGCTGGTCAAAGCTCCCGTGGACCAAAGGAAAGCTGTATTGGGAAGCTGGGCGCTGCTGCAGCACATGCTTGACGAGTTTTGGCGTCGTTGGATCGTCGAATACTTACCAATCATCTCTCGGCGAACTAAATGGTTCCAAGACGTCACACCGATCAACGAGAAAGCACTAGTAATGATAGCAGACGAAGGGGTCCGAAACCGGTGGCTACGGGGTCGCGTGATTCGCACCTATCCAGGCAAAGATGGAGTCGTGCGCAACGCAGCTGTGGAGACATCTAGTGGAGTTTTGAGAAGACCAGTTTGTAAACTCGCTGTTCTCGAAGTTCGTGGAAATGCTGAAGTAGAAGCAGAGACTAGCAGAGATGGTGACGTCGATGCAGTTTTCGAGCGACACGAGGGGGAGAATGTTCCGACGAGTGGATCCATCTAACGACCCCTCGTACAATTTGGATGTTGTGGAAGATGAATTGGGAGACAATGGATCGTTTTGGTGAAATAATGATTTGTCATTGTATAGTGTTTTGAAGCAGAAGTAAAAAGTATTTGCTTAACATAATGATGAATTTGAATTTTGCTATTGAAGTTGTGAATTAATACTAAGTACGAGACAGATTGTAAGTAGATATGATGAAACCAAAATAACCTAAAACTAACTAAATAATAAACATTGCAGCTTTGAGCTATCGCACTACAAAAAAAGGACGATTTGCTTCGAAGAACTCGGAAAAGAAAGTTATCGCAACACCCCGGTTCATGAGTTGATGGGTCAATAGGTAGGGTCCAGGTGTGGGAGCTGTCTCCCTGGTGTCAGTATCATTGGTGCTCAGCACGGAAAACAAGATTGACGGAAAACAAATCAATGAAAAAAAATAGGTCTACCCGAAGAAAATGACCATGTTGTCTACAATTGATATTTACTCCAGGGCAAGGCCCCAAATTAGATAGCGACAGTAATCTTTTCAAACTTTCACCGTTCCTTGATGAGAAGGGTGTACTGTGTATTTAAAGCAGAATCAGTCTGACTGCATTCGCGTCCTTCGACACAAGAAACTCCATCATTTTTCATCGGAATCACCTTGTCATGAACCTCATCATCATGTGGTATCATCATAAGTTCCTGCACGGTAATGTTGAAACTGTGATCAATGCGGCAGCGATTCCACATATCAAACCTACGTACCGTCGTACGAAACGTAACCACTATGCAAGATCCTTAAAGCGGTCCACAGTGGTGCCAAGGGTATCAAAACACGCGCTTTTTTATTTACGCTGAAATGGTTGATTAAAGGTACTAGGTGTCTTCTGAGAAGTTTCTCGGGTAACAACACTCCTTCTTATGGTAAAAGAAAATTAAAGGTTAATCCACCTAAAAGTGAGATGCAAAAGTTATTTTTTTAATATGATGAGATACAACATAATTGCGTTCGTCAAAGCTGTAGAAAACATTACTGCGATTCAGTCAAGGGTTTTTGTTAGTCACTAGAAATAACCCAGGTTGCTTGGTTATCCATTTGTATGCCTCTTTTCACACCTAGTCGATAACAGTCTCGTGGTTTCACAAAATCGCTATTTCAAATTTTGAAAAGTGATGAGTTTCAATGCAAGTATTTCGATTAAGGGTCGCGTGGGGGCGGTCTGGTTTCTTCGCCATTTCATTGCATTTTCTTGTACTTTCCATTGTTCACAGAATGGCCTGCTCGTTTTTGCTCGTTTAGAAGTTATTGGTATTGGAAGTTGGCTAATTTTCAACCGAAAAATGTAAATAACTTTTCAAATATTAATGATAGTAATATCCAGTCTTCTTAAAAGGTATGTTTTTTGATATTTCTAACATCTTTGTACAACATGCCAAACATGTAGAAATATTGTAGGAAAAATTATAGGTACAAAATTGATTTTAACGATGTCTCCTCAAAAAAAAAACCTCTATATCTCAACAGCTGAACTAGAAAGTTATAGTCTTCAGCAAAGTGGTTCACAGTAATGTTTTCTACAGCTTTGCCGTACACAACTACATAATCACGATGGTGTTTCAATATGATGTCTGTGTTTGGAAAACAATCACAAAATGAAATTTTCATTTCCTTTCTTTTTGTATACGCCGGTAAGCTACACAGACTCCTCCCATCATTAGTAGTTTGCTATCAAGTAGTGACACTCTCCTTTTGCGTAGTTTGCCAATGTCAATACCTTGAAAGCAAAGGGAAATTAACGAGTTATTTAAGAAAGATTAAGAGAACCGATCAAAATCACTTGCACCCCTTCTTCCAAGTTTGGTTACAAGATTTCAACTCTGGAGAGCATTTTGTGTGGTCGTTGGGGGCGTTTTGTTCTGAATATGGAAAAACAGGCACAGATAAATTCTAATCCAACTCTTGACTGTAATAAGCTAGTTGACCCCGAAATGGGCCGTCTTGTTGCCAAAGTTGGTGATGATTTAACCTCCGAAACCATACAGGTTCAAAGCACAGACGACATCCATGACTGCTTACGCTAGGCAGCATCACAGATCACATTTTCCAGGAACACCTTCAGCACACCTCGTAGATCAGATCGGAGATACGACCTTTTCCTCCTTTACCACGACCTGTTGCTTGTTGGGTAGAAGAGTTGACTACTTAACCTGCCACCACCTTCCTACTGCTGCTTTTGCTGCTTCTGCTGCCTGCTCACCACGCCGGCCAAAGCGAAAATGAGTTGAGGCTAGACAACAGCGCTTTTCAGTTTAAAGCAGAATGATGTGCAACCAAGTGGTGCTCGATTATGACGACTGGGTTAGGGAAGAACGTTTATTTCATGTGAACAGTGATAAAATTATCACTTTTTATTTGTACATTGGACAATGCTTGACATTATCACTTTTTCAATAGTTTCTTGTTGAAAATCATTAAAGAAAAGCATAGCAATTGATGCGTAGAAATATTTCTGATCAATAAGTGATAAAATTATTGAAATTAGTACAGGGGCAGCTGAGTTATTAATGTTCAAAATCTTTCATAGTTTTGTAACATGTTCCATTTTCGGTTTTCACAAAGTGTACCCCCATATAGAAATCACAGACGTAGTCCTACGTCAAAAACGAAGGAAGTAGTTTTTGAGTCATTGATTGCGTCAATTGAAACAAGTCTTTGCTTCAAATGAAATGAACTGACGCACTTGACGAATGAAACAAGCGATAGTCAAGTCATGTTTGACAAAATGAATGTTCACCGTGAATCGATAACAAAAAACACAATGACTTACACGAAAATGATATTGCTCGAGGTGAAGCGATTTTGCAGAGAGTTCATTTTCTTTTCTTTGTTTCGAAAATGCAGAACCCTGATTCTAACCTGTTAAATCACTCACCTAATCAAGTATCCACATGTCAAATGAAATCAAAAAAGTAATTTACTATGTTCTCATCATGTATCTGTGATACATTCACAACTTTTACTGCGTACGTACTACACAATTTATTCCAAAATGATATCAATCATCACACTAAATTACTATTATAAGTGATGTATCATAACAAGATAGCTTATGTAACGTAATATCAACTTTAGACTGAACTTGGCGTTAATCTGCATCAACTTTCCTATGATCAGTTATATTTGAAACATTTTTGTGCCATTTTTAAAAATGAATCGATTTAAAAGATCGATTCAAATCATTGATTAAATCGGTGAATCGATTATTTTCAAAAAAAATAATCGATTCACTAAGATCGATTCTTACCTCTAGATCGCCCAATGCTAGTCGTGATGAGCTTCATCTACTTAAACTCAAAACTCGAGGACTGACTTGGATGGCAGAGGTTTGGTCCACCGCTGATAACGCTGGGAGCTCCACACTGGAAGCTAGCGTAGATCGTCGTAGGCCTAATTGGCGAAATGACCCAAAACCGAAGTCTCAACTTGCCGATCAACTTCAGGATACACTCGGTACAGACTAACCCGTTCGCTCCGTAGGTGTTTGGGGAAAAACGGCTACTATCACTCGTGAGGTTTTGCAGCAATTCTAACGTGTTCTTGTGTGTACAAAATGTGTATTTTAACAAACTTTGTTCTTGCTTTTATTTTTCATAAATACAACATTTTAACTTGCAACTTGTAATAAGTTTTTATTAGGCAAGGAAGTTGAAATATGAGGTCGCAACGGTAACAATTTCAATGTAAGTTCATTATCTTTGTATGACTGACTCCATGTATTTTTGACTCTATGGTACTGAAAAAAATGTAGATGTATCCATTATTAACAATGTTGTGATATAACCACAACGAGATGGCTGTTCAGCGGTGCCGGTGGTTTAGTGGTAAGCGCGATTACCTCTCACCCCAGCAGGCCTAGGTTCAATCCCAGTCTGCGTCGCCGGGATGTTCTGAGGCATAACATCTCTGATCACGCCGTAAGTAAAGCCGTTAGAGTAGATGAGTCGATAGATAGGGTCCAGGTGTGGGAGCTGCCTCCCTGGCGTCGGTAGCATTGGTGCTCAGCACGGAAAACAAAATCGACGAAAAACAAATCAAAAGAGATGGCTGTTCAGAATGGTTCAACGGATGTGAAATAATAAAACATTTAAATTTAACATTATTTTAAGTATTTCAATGCAACATTCATTTGTTCTACTAACAATTAACAAATTTTCCAATGTGTCATTTTAATTAACTCCTCGAAGCATTTACTTGTGTTTTATACAAATAGTATCAATGTTTCGTCTTATCGTATCTTCAAGTGGTTTTCGAAAGCGCCACATTTCATTCAGGCTCTTTGGAACTACATTTTACAAGTGAATTGCACATAAAAATGACTAGTATCATCACTTACTCACTCATGAAATCTGCCTCGACCAACCAGAAACAAGGCTGAAAGCTTCCTAACCCTCACTGAACCAAAGGGTGTAAGGATTATTACGCAGCTGAATTTCACAAGGATAAACTCAAAGGCGAATAATCTGTAGCATGAGGTTTGAGTTTTTGAGCTTTTCATAACACTGCTTTCCATACTACTATCTTACTAATTACTAAATTAAATATCTATTTTTACCTTGCAGTGATGATATTTCTATTTTGAAATCTACATATTTTCTTCGCTGTCCTCTAGATCTCCGCGTCTTTCTTCACGTATTTCATGTCTTAAATCTTACTTTTCCTTTTCCATTGGGTCGAAATGTCGGAATCAAAGTGTACACTTCCATGTTGTTCTCCCCTAGATGAATGTTAACTGTGCTCATGAAATCACCATGAAGATCAGAGGCAGATTTTACTACGGTTTCAAAATGTTGAGGCATTTCCACTTTAGTAATAACTCATCAATTATAATCAACCAATCAGTATTCCAAAAGAAACTTCAAATCAAACAACCGAAATCTAAAACCAAGCTTCACAAAAAGAGCAGCCACATTTCAAAATTCAATTTTCGCATACTTCAACGACTTTTTTTTCCAACCACGACTGTTCTAAGCCACAATCCCCGAGGCGCAAACAATGCCATTTAAGGATTTTTAACTAAATAAAATTCGAAAAATGCATCACTAAACAGACGCTTTTGAGACAAAAAGCTGACGAATTCCTGGCGAGCGGCGGCTCGTCGCTTTGCTTGCATCTCTGTCTAAACAATGGATCGCATTTTCCAAATTCCTCGCAAATATTGGATATCCCACCACCGCGCGCACCGATATGTTTCCCTGAGCGTAAGTATGTGACATTTTGGGGACTTGGTAGGATCGCGGTAATCAATATCTGATCCACGGATCAGATCCCGGACGCGTATGACCCATAACAATGCATTCGAGTTATCGTGGCTGACTGTCTGCTGATGCTGCAGAAAAAAAGAAACCTTTGGACATTCCATCAATCCCAGGTTCCGATCCAAAAATGGATTTCGAAAAATCTCCTAGTTTGGTCAGACTAATCTCTGTAAATGGAATCGATGCTATAGAGACGGGGCAGGACGATTTTTCGGGGCGACTTCTTTTGTTCTTATGACCAAATATTTCACCGCCTATGGATCCCCAAAAGTATTTCTTGCACCGGAGGGAATACTGCAGCAGCAGAATCGGTAAATCCTTATAAGTAGCACTACCTTCCTCCAACGCGCTATTCACAATTGATTTGCCGAAATCGAAATGAAAAGGCAGTGAAACAGCAAATGCACGCTGCATGAAAGAAGATTCGATATCAAAACAAATGAATTGATCTCCGCGAAATCATCCTCACCGCCGGCTTTGGGTGAGTCCGTTTTTGATGGCCGAAGATGGACGGGGAAAAAAAACGAGAACAGAAGCATCATGAATCATCTCGAAAGGATGGAGGAAAATGATGCGTGGTTATTGAGAAGGTACATCAGCCGTCGCGCTACGGAAGGTGGTGTGCCAGTACCTTCCCGGTGCACATCATAAACGTTTCATTATCGTCATCTTGTCTCGTTGGGCACTGCACAAGGAAGATGTGGATTCAGGGGGTGTAAGGATGGTTCTGCTGGTTGAATAATAGTACATAGGGGAAATGGCTCTAATGTTGACCTATGGATCTAAGATTGGGCTCATCGATAAAAATCGGCTATTTATCAATTTTACCTAGATGAACGCGTCATTACAAATGAATAATTTTGGTCGCTATTGAAAATTTAGTCGATTGCTGAATTTATGGGCCTAAGTTAGGGACATTACATCAATTTCCCCTGCTTTAGAAGGGTTATGTTCTTGGCCAATACATAATAAATAGAAGCTAAAAGTCTAGAATTGAGCCAAAACTACATTCACCAAGTGCTTTATTGTTTGTTTGTACTCTAGTCAATTTAACACAATTTAGGTCAATCGTGACTTATCCGGGAATGAAGTTTGAACTCATTACCTTCACTCTGAGAGGCATGGATGCTAACCACTACGTCGGACCAACCCCCAGTGCTATGTGTATTTGCCCATTTCTCCAAAAGCAACTTTGAAGCCTGAATAATGGCCTTCATCTTGTCTAGACTTTAAGATTAAACCATATATCCCAAGTAGCATTGCAAGTTTTATAAAGGTTTTAAAGAGTTTTACAAGTACAGAACCTTCATAAAATGGTCGGTAAATGCTGGGTAATGCACAATGCAGATCCCATTGAGATCACTAGCCTCTTCCCAGCAACTCCTATCCCTACGTCCCCGTGGTACCAGCCGGGAACTGTGAGCAACCATAGGGAAGATCGGATAACCAACCCCGGTGGGAACTTTGGTCATAGGCTGACAGAGAAGCGGGGGGGGGGGAGGAGGTTGCTTCTGCAAGCCTGAGGGTCTGTTCTCCAGGAGGAGCGGCTCACAACAGCGTCTGTTCCCCATGTTAGGGGCGGCTGATCTACGTCCGAGTGCCAGTGAAGGACTCTTAGCACAACTGGGCACCCTGGTCCTCCGGAAAGTTAGGGGGTTGGTGTCAGGCCCTGCGAGCCAGTCGTAAAAAAGCATTGCAACGGAAAATCAGCAACAGAGGAATACGAACCGAGACCAACGGCAACGACCCCAGCGACGAAATAGGACTTGCGATTGGAAACTCGGCACGTGAAACTGTCGATCTCTCAATTTCGTCGGGAGCACCCGAATGACCGAGGATGGAGAGCGGCAGTCGCAAATCGAGTATTGTGGCGTACTATTGTTGATTATGTCTTATCTTAAATGTGATGTTGTACAAATAAATGTATATATGTAACCTTCATAAAACCCAAATTGTTACTTGGAGCTGTGGTGGCTCACTTTTATTTTAAAATCATATGTACGTGATGATTTTTCGACCCATAAAAGTATAACAGTGAACAGGTCCCATGCTTATTTAGAAATTCAGCTAAGATAGAAGCAAACAATGTTCTGCAAAATTTATTGGAATGTACATACGATATTCACTGCCGGTAATCGCAAGTCCCATCTGCATTTTTATCAATTTTGAGTTAGCATCATTATTCAGTTTATCTTTCTATGTTTTTTTTAGATAAACTATTGTAAAAAGGTGGTTTGTTCAAGAAAAATGAAAAACAATACCAAGTCAAATTGTCCCACAGCGAAAAGTAACCGCAAGTAAGTCCCATTAGAAAAAAATATGTTAGAAATGTTAGACGACACATCGCATCATGAGATTTGTGTCGAGACAGATTTTATCCACTTTCCCTAGGGTATCTGAAACATGTCCGGATGTGGCCAATATAGTTCTTACGATACTCAGTTTGACCGCCAATGGATATAGCTTTGAATTCTCATGTGTTTTGATGTATCGCTTGATGGATTTTGTAATTTGTAATTTGTAATTTATTGATAGCATAACGAAAACCTGTCAGTTACAGAACCATAAATCAGGTCAAGGAAGCAACCATTTTGAATCAGTTTAGTGGGGAGTTAAGAATGAAATTAAAGTCTAAGTCTAAACATTTGACATTTCTTAAATCGACAGCTACTATTGGTATTAGCCTAGAGAAATAATCAGCTCTGTGGAGCGCCGCTTTAAGCGACGTAAGAGTCCGTTGCTGCCTTGTAGCTAGTGGTAGTGCGTTCCAGGTGGACGCTCCGAATATTAGAACACTTTTTCGGGAACTTGTGGTGTGATGCGGTAGGACAAAGGATCTAGCTCGCTCGTTCCGACCTTTAGGTGTGTACTGCGTGATGTACTCTGGGAGGCTTCCATGGTACATGAAGCAGTAGATACGACGGTGGTAGTTTTCCGGCAGATCGCATCCGAGTATGGTGTGTCGCACTTCTCTGGTCGTATCACGTCCTCGGATTCCATACACGAAACTCACCGACGACTTGAAGCATCGATGCAACTGAGCCTTGAGCGCGGTGGACAGTCCTGGGTAGTACGCAACGTCGCAGTATGCGAAGAACGGCATCACCACAGCTTGGACGAGCTTCATACAAATCTGTCTGGAAAGCACTCCACGGAAGCGCCTGAACACACGAAGAGTATTGTAGATCTTTTTGGTGACTTCGTTTATCTGGTCGGTCCATTTTAGGTTAAAGTCCATAATGAGACCAAGGTTGGTAACTTTGTTCGACAAAGTAATGGTTTCATCTCTACAAAAGACGGTAGCTTGCGTCTTCTTTGGGTTTGGAAACAGACGATTCTCAGTGGCCCAACGTTTGATAGCGAGGAGATCCTGGTTGATTGCTTCGACGAGCCTGTTAATTTCGCTTGCGGGGCCTGATATTTAGATTTGGAGGTCGTCCGCATAGAGGTGATACTCGCATTTTAGCACACCAGGCAGGCTGTTGATGTATAGGCTAAACAGCAGGGTGCTCAGACAGGATCCTGGTGGCGTACCGTCGGTGAGATTCCGGGGATTCGAGGGAGTACCACCTAGGTCTACAGCCTGGCTTCGCTGCGCTAGGAAAGATGAAATCAAATTACACGCGGAGTTTGAAAACCCGAATTCCCTCCTCAGCTTCGTTTCAAGTAGACCATGTCTGACACAGTTGAATGCCAACGAAAAGTCGACAAGAACCATTACTGTGCACCTGTTATCGTCAAAGTTGTTGAGGATATCGTGAGCAACCTTGACTAGAGCAGTCGTGGTACTGTGGTTTTTCTTGTATCCTGACCGGTGTTTCGCAAGAAGAGCGGGTGTGGATACATCGAGATGATCCGTTATTTGCGACAGTAGAATCTTCTCCAGTACCTTAGACACCGCAGGTAGGACACTAATGGGCCTGAAGTCCTTCGGTGAAGTAGGGTTCGATGATTTCGGTATCGGGGTAACGATGGCCTTTTTCCAGACGGAGGGGAAAGTTTGAGCATCGATAATCGCATTGAACAGGTGAGTCGGTAGGGGAAGGATAAACGGACAGAGCAGCTTGATGAATGAGATGGTGATTTCATTCGTCCCTTTCGCGTTGGTCCCAATCTCGCAAATTTTCCTGGTGACTTCGTTGACGTTAGTGCACCTGAACTGGAATTGGCCGTCGGCCACATTTGCGGGTGGTCGATCGGATTCTGCGTTCGCTTGCGAAGGTACAGCCCTATGATGTAACATGTGATGGCCTTCAGCAAAGAACTGATTTATTCGGTCAGCATCAAATTCCTCCATGGCCGCATTCTTCTTTGCATTGTTATGTATGCCCTCTCTCCTCAGGTTGCACCACAGCTGCTTAGTAGGAAGATCCATGCCAAACTGCGAATCAGCATACCGTTTCTTAGCAGCACCAATTAGGGTGCCGGCCCTACTCTTTTTGGAGATGTAGTCTCGCCATTGAGCATCTCCTCTGACATGATTCGGATTTCGCACATAGAGAGAATAGGCTAGGTCCCGTAGCATGCTCAAAAGCGAATAAAGTTCACTAGTGAGAAGTTGTGTTTTGATGTCGATGTCTCCTTCTTGGTAGATGTCCTTTGTCTGGAAATCAGCCTGCAGCCGTAGGAGATCTATCCTACCGAGATTCCATACTTTCATACGACGAGGTGGAGCTTCAGGTATGCGCACGTCAGCGATCAGATTCACAGCTTCGTGATCGGAAATGGAGTTCGTGTTTACAGCTTTGGATTTTTTGATGAACAGTGGGTGATCAGTTACCATTAGATCAATGATAGTAGAGCTGTGTTCAGTGATCCGGGTGGCCAACGTGGGTAGCACCGTAAGATTGAAGGTGGTGTGAATCCGTCTCAAAGCAAGTAGGTTCGTAGTGGGTTGATTTAAAAAGGATTTACCACTTCCCCGGGGATACCTGGAACATGTCCGGTTGTGGCCAACATTGTGCTGGTCACTCATCATGACTCTTAATGACCTTATTGAATTCTCATGTGAATTGATTTATCACATGGTGGGTTTGGCACGTTTATGAAAAGCTCTCGTCTGGTGAAGACCCATACTCACCGGAATATGTTCCGACCATTGCTCTGAAACCAGCAGAACAAATCCAGAAACATTCAATAACGTTCTGGGCCATGGTATCTTTCTACTGTTCAATACTGTGCTAAACTAATGCAGCATCGTCATGGAATTGAGACTGACTTACGGTTATTTTTCTCATTGACGTTAAATGTAATCGCTAGTCAGTCCCACTCAGATTTTGGCCATAAATTAAAAATTTCACGATATTTTTCCAATATTTTTGGGTAAACATAGATGCATTCTATCACATTGTACGTTTATTTTTAAATTTATCCCTCCAAAATAAGTGTCAAATCAGAAAACTCGAAAAATCTTTGAACGCTGTTTTCTCATTTCCAGTTTTTCACAGATGGGATTGACTTGCGATTATGGGCAGTGCATTGCTCTAAAATACCACACGGAATTTTTTACGTTTACGGTAACTAACGACCCCCCTTTTCTAAAGTAAAAGTCTCGTTTACAATAGATTATATTGTACGTAACAATAAGTTCTAAAGCATTTTTATTGTTTTTGACTATAAGATGTATTATTGCTACACTAAATGTTATTGCATTCTAACAATAGGCTCTGATGTTTGTGTAAGGTAAATTTTTATTCGGAAATAGCATATCTTGTGTAAAAAATACGGAAAATTACTGGTGATATTTTGAACATGGGCAAAGCTATCTTGAATAAAAATTGAATAATCTTGCAGTAATCAGACCTTTTCTAATCACATTGAGCCGATACGAGTTGAAATATTTATTTTTTTCTTCAAACCAAAAATTGAAGAACTGACATGCAACACGGCTTCTTTAAAGGACGTTCGACCTCGACAAATTTACTTGCATTTATAGACTATACATTAAATGCAATGGATAATGGAAACCACGTAGAAGCCCTCTATACGGACTTTAGCAAGGCATTTGACCGAATTGACATACCAATGCTACTCTTCAAATTGAAAAAAAAAATGGAATCGAGCCAGGACTCTTAAAATGACTTGAATCATATTTAACTAACCACCAACAAATAATTCAATTCAATGGAAAGAAATCTACCCCAATTCAAGTCACCTCACAACGGCGCCGGTGGTGTAGTGGTAAGCGTGATTACCTCTCACCCCAGCAGGCCTGGGTTCAATCCCAGTCGGCGCCGCCGGGATGTTCTGAGGCATAACATCTCTGATCACGCCTTCCTTCGGATGGGACGTAAAGCCGTTGGTCCCCGGTTCATGAGTTGATAGGTCGATATGTAGGGTCCAGGTGTGGGAGCTGCCTTCCTGGCACGTCGGTAGCATTGGTGCTCAGCACGGAAAACAAGATCGACGGAAAAAACAAACCAAAGGAAAAAAAAACGTCACCTCAGGAGTTCTCCAAGGCTCTCATTTGGGACCTCTTCTTTTTATTCTGTATGTAAACGACATTTCCTTCATTCTCAAAAAAATTAAATTGCTAATCTATGCCGACGACATTAAGCTCTTTTTGGAAATAAGAAATGATGAAGACATCAATATATTCCAGAGTGAATTACACATATTCTACAAATGGTGTTAAAAAAGCATATTAGAACTGAACGTAAAAAAATGCAACTGAATTTCAATTGCATTAGAAGATCAGAATGTAGAAAAATGTGAAAGAGTTAGGGATTTAGGGATTATTTTAGACTCCAAACTAACTTTCATTGACCATTACAATACAATTATTCACAAGGCAAATAACATACTAGACTTTATCAAGCGTTTTTGCTATAACTTTCATGACCCATACACAATTAAAACACTATATATTGCCTATGGTAGGTCAATACTGGAATATTTCAGCATTGTATGGTCTCCTTTTTCAATCACGCACGAAGAAAGATTAGAATCAGTACAAAAACAATTTCTATTATATCTTCTTCTTCCTCTTATTTGCATTTCAAGCTTATTGCTTAGTGCACATTAGCTTATTGCGTGCTCTCAACTTAGTGTTCTAAATGCACTTTCACAGTTATTAATTGAGAGCTTTTGATGCCAATACCAATGCATGAATGTGTATATTGTATGGCAAGCACAATGATACTCTATACCCAGGGAAGTCGAGAAAATTTCCAACCCGAAAGATTCCCTCGACCGGACCGGGAATCGAACCCGCCGCCTCCAGCTTGGTGATACCGTGGCTTAACTGACTAGGCTATGAGGCCCATTATGATATGCCCTTCGTAAATTAGGTTGGACATCATTTCCTCATTCATCATATGAAGCACGCTGCGTGCTTATAAACATACAATATGCAATGGTTTCGTTTGTAAACAATATCGTTTCGCAGCGCATTAACTCAGCAGAACTTTCATCAAAATTAAATTTGTATGCACCTACTCGACAACTCAGAAATCTAAATTTAATTGCCATCATCGCACGAATTATGCAAAATTTGGGCCATTAAATCGCATGATGGCGCCTTACAATCAATACTGCGAAACCATTGACTTTTCAATGTCTCGGCATAAAGGGTGATGCGGTCAAAATTTGGTCAAGGGAAAACGCGTGTAAATCGGTGAAATCGTTTATTTAAAAAATCAAATTAAATTTCTTTTTCAAGTTCAATTAGTATAAAATTCAGGAAAAATAGTCAGTTAGGCTTCCGCTTTTCCAAATCCGAATTGCCGGGCCTTACGCTTGACCCCTGCCATCAGATTTTGTACAGCCACCTTGTCCACCTTCTTCGCCGCAGAAAGCCAGTTTGCCTTGAACTGCTGCTCGCCCTTAGCAGTTTTTTGGTCTTCTTTAGGTTCCGCTTGACAATAGCCCAGTATTTCTCAATTGGGCGGAGCTCTGGCGTGTTGGGAGGGTTCTTGTCCTTGGGAACCACCTGCACGTTGTTGGCGGCGTACCACTCCATGGCCTTTTTACCGTAATGGCAAGATGCCAAATCCGGCCAAAACAGTACGGAACAACCGTGTTTCTTCAGGAAAGGCAGCAGACGTTTATTCAAACACTCTTTCACGTAAATTTCTTGGTTGACAGTCCCGGAAGCTATGAAAATGCTGCTTTTCAAGCCACAGGTACAGATGGCTTGCCAAACCAGATATTTCTTTGCGAACTTTGACAGTTTCATGTGCTTGAAAACATCTGCTACCTTTCCCCTTGCTTTTGCCGTATAAAACTCCTGTCCCGGAAGCTGCTTGTAGTCGGCTTTGACGTAGGTTTCGTCGTCCATTACCACGCAGTCAAACTTCGTCAGCATCGTCGTGTACAGCCTCCGGGATCGCGCTTTGGCCGTCGTATTTTGTTTATCATCGCGATTTGGAGTCACTACCTTCTTGTAAGTCGATAGTCCGGCTCGTTTTTTGGCTCGATGCACGGTTGTAGACGATACACCCAGCTTATTTGCGGCATCTCGGAGAGAGAGGTTAGGGTTTCGCTTGAAACTACCGGCAACTCTCTTTGTCGTCTCAGCGGCTTCCGGTTTTCGATTTCCCCCCGATCCAGACTTCCTGGCTGTCGACAAACGTTCCCCAAACACTTCAATTACATTTGTAACGGTTGATTTGGCAACTTTTAGCGATTTTGCCAACTTTGCGTGCGAGTAGCTCAGATTTTCGTGATGCGCGAGCAAAATTTTGATACGCTGCTCTTCTTGCTTGGACGGCATTTTGACAACTGAAGAGTGAATTCCAAAATCAAAATAGGAGCAACATTCTACACCCACACACCTTCAAAATGAGGGGTGTTCAGGTTTTTTAAATGCAAAATTGAAAGAAATACGTCAAGTTGATATTGACCAAATTTTGACCGTATCACCCTTTAAACTTTCTTGATTTGATATTTTCTAAAACTTTGCCGAAAACACCAATCCTAAATATGGAGTTTTTGGAAAAAAAAATTAATCTCACTTCTAGAAGGATTGATTTGTCATTGTCAAAAGAAGGAACTTTTTATATCCAGAAACTTTCCTAAAGACACCACTAGTCTAAAATGCAAGATTCATGAGAAAATGACTTTTGAGTGATTTTTCACAGTTCTAGACCACTGTGCAGCGGCGGGGACAGGCCGATTGGCTTAAGACTTTGGATTTCTCAATATTGGTCCATAATAAGTTATTCCACCAAGTTTGGTTCAGATCGCAGAGCAATTTTGCAAATTTACTCGGCTACTTGAGATGGAAAAAGGCCAATATGTAATTGAAAACATATCATATATATCATGCAACCCGTTAATTTCGCATTTAGGGAGCCACTTTCATTGATTTTTCGATCAGTGAAAATTCACTCTTCATGACTCTCTGAAAGTGAAATTTAGGTTTCAGCTTGCATATGTCAAACACATAAGGGAAATGGCTCTAATGTTGGCTTATGGATGTAAGATTGGGCCCATCGCTAAAAATCAGCTATTTATACATTTTATCTAGATGATATTGCGACGGCACTAATGGATATTTTTGGTCGCTACTGAAAATTTAGTCTAATGATTTCATAATTTCAAAAAACACGTTTATTGCAAATTAATAGCAGCAACTCTGCATATACTTTACTTTCAGACCGCTTAAAACATTTGATCCAAAATAAACCCTCTTCATCTTCGAAAATCAGTGTTCACTCGGCTGTCGACAGAAACAGGTCACTCTCGATGTGTGTCACGCGATCGTCTGTTTACTCAGCAGCAACCATTGTGTGGTCCTCCTCATTGTTATTCATCAGCAGTTCTTGTGGTCGATGCGTCGTTGACTTTGAAAAGCAACCGTTTCGTGATGAATGTGTGAGTGATGACCACGTTTTGCGTCCATTGCAACAATGGAAGCGCTCTGACCCTCGTTGGCGAATCTGCCATACAAGTAAACCACTGACAGCGGCTCCCGTTCTGGTAGGAGGCTTATTGGATATTGGAAGATAAAATGTTAATTTTGTTGTACCTTTTGACTATAGTTTTAAGATGTATTGTATAGTGAACAAGAATCCTCGGCTCTGTAAAGTTAATTCGGTTGAGCCTTATCAAATAAATTAATAAACAAACAAAAAATCTTCGAAAATCATTACAACCAACCGATGCACCCCTCGTATAAAACACCATCATCATACAGCACCGACCACGGTCGTTCGAGAGCGAAAGTCATTCTCTGCCTCGGAATTTTGGTACGTGCCAGTCAGTGTATTCAGCTTCCTACTGGTTCCCGGTGCATAATTCTATACCTCCACCTTTATGATCCTCCTGGTGCACTCGTCATGGCCGATGCACCTTTTGAACCGCCTGCAAAGGACAAAAAAAAGTCCCGATCGTCCGTCGATTGGTCGGTTTCCAATTTCAGTTGACTGATCGCACGAGCTAAACACACGACTGTAAAAATATTGACGAAAATTGTTAATTTCCAACCGAAAACTGCAACTGTTTTTGCTTGCCCATGGAGCGGCAGTTTGTTTCTTCTTTCGGGCCACACATCACCACACTGAACGGGCCGACGATGCTCGAAGCATTTGCACCTTCTTATGTTTCGGTACAAGTGTTTGGTGAACCTGTTATCCGGTGTAGGTAGGTACCTACACTTTACTGTCCGATAAAGGATAATCCTTAGTTTTTGGAAGGACTTGATTTGGTTTGCTACTTGTTGGGGTATGTCTTCAGATCCGTGTAGTGTCAGCTTTGGCAAACATTTTCCGGCATTTTAAGTGTACCGCTTCTTTCAAGGGATTAGGACGCTGCAGAACAAACAGACACTGTATGTTAAGTCTGCAAAGCATCTTTTGTCATTTTCGATCGTTTCTCTGATTTCAATAAAGTTTGTGATGCTATTTTTTCATCTTAAGCGATTGACCATTTAGATTCTAAATTCCAGTTTCGTAAGCAAACAGTTTGTCGCTCTGTATGATTCGATACAGAAGAGTTTGATCGGTAGTCTGTTTTGGCAGCAGTGATGCCAGCCAGCATAGTTTTATCGCTCACATTATTTGACCCTGCATTCTGAAAAATCTGTCTGCTCTGCCAATGCTGCAATGCGTTCCGATGTGGAGATCGCCTCCCCCGTACACAGCGATCATGGAATTTCGGCTTTCGGCGATCTTTGCCGTTCACTTTGAATGCCATATTTAGACAATCAGCCAATGCAACTTACTGGTAGCCGTGGTAGCCGCATTCGTCAATGCCAAGATTTGATGCACTGCTTCATGCTGCTCCACTACTGGGCCTACCTGGCAAGGCAAAACGACACACAAAAAATGCTGAAGATGTTAGATGATGATGATGTTATTGTCTTTTTCGGAAAGGGCTGCCGTCTTCGTCGCCGTCGATTGAAAACCAATCGTTCAAGCTCCCTAGTTTTGGCGGGTCCAAAATTGGTCATAAATTCGATGGATTTTTTTTCTTCTTTTCCAGATTCACCAAAAAACATGACGAATACGGTTGATTCCCTATTTAAATTGATGACTCGTGCTCATAATTGTCTGTGCACCGGAGAGGATTTACGGATAAGCGGAGTCTGGAGTCTGTGTTCCACGGAAATTCCAACCTAATCATCTCGTTCGGTTGCACCATCGCCACTCAGATGCAGATGAGAAGCCGGAATCGAAACGGTGGAAAATGTTGCATTCACATAATTAGCGAGGAAACATAATAACCAATATCGATTCATTCGGCTCGGATTCTCGGTTCCGAGAAGTTTTCGGGAATTATTCAAATGCAAATCAATCAGAAAGCGGCAGCCGCCTGCCGGACTCGGTGGTTTGATAAGTAAATCGTTTCGCATCGATTTCTGCTGGAATTTATTTCGTCTGCTGCGGAGATGAAGTTTTCAATATTTATTATGATTGGACGGAGGATAAACGTGCACTCGGATCAGGAAATGATGGAAGTTAACAATAGAGACAAGACAGTTACAGACAGCCAATGTCAACCCGTGCTGTCAGCAGAGTGGGAAGGGAGGAGGGATAGGGAGAATGTTTGTCATAATTATGATTAACGTCTGTGTCACCTGTTAATCCACGCGTTGTGCGAATAAATTATTCATAATGGTAATTAATTCCACTCCAAGGGAGGGAATCGATGTCGGGCGTGATTCGGGATAATTAATTCCCCTTCTTTTGTGTCTCCGAGACGGGTGGAGTGAGTCTACGAGCTAGACCTGTAAAAGCTCCAACCAGGTATACTATTCGATCTCTTTCGACTGTTGCAGTATGTCCGGTCTGCAGGCTAATTCGAATACATCTCTGCATTTGCACCAATTGAACCCCGAGTACCATGCATGTGAAATGTCGTAACTTGATTTTTCTTAGTTCTTCAAAATTGATTGTTTTAAGTGGATGTGCCTCATTTCATTTTTATTTTGCAGCGTCTGGTGGGGCAATGGGAGCGCAAATCAATCCAAAGCCGAGGATAAAGGAAGGGTAATGGCTGAATAGTCTATGCGGACCACTTGAACGGCATGGGAAAAGGAAGGGATTAAAGAGGTCGGTTATTGGGGTGTTTTGAGGAAATGACACATAGTACTACACAGTTCGAAAAAGTAGTGTAAATTTCTGTTCAATATGATGCACATAAATGGAGCGTCACATATCATATACGTTTACATTATATATCATGTTAAGTTCTGACACATTTCATGCAATGTAGCAAATATTGTATACAAAAGCCCATCTTTGTAAACAACATTGATTGCAAGTTGCTCGGTTGCGTGAAATGAAATACAAGTCTACGTGAATGAATGTTTACATCACAATTAAAATTCAGGATTTTTTTCTTTGTAGATTTGTGCTGCAAGTAAAAAAACCGAAAATCCATCTCCCACTGATTCATCCTTTCACATATATACCAAATTGATATTTTAAAGCAACCATCAAAATAAACAGACAATATATGAAAATGCTGCACTAATAAAATTCCACACATTTTTATTGACGAATTTCCATGTGAAATTCCACATGAGTTTCATGCGACCACACATAAATAGAATCCACCCAGAAGCACACATGAAATTTATGAGTCAAATGAATAGTATATGTGGTTACACATGGCTTTTATGTGTACACATATTAAGTATGTGTCCGACACATAGATATCATTTGTTGATCACATTGCAAAAATTCATTTGTGGGACACATAAAAACAATCTTTGAAATTTTATCAGTGTAGTTGCCAGTTGCTTTAAAGGGTAGTTGCCCCCCTAAGTGGACCCCCCGCATCCTAACTCTTTTGTTAATCTACTTAATGTTATTCGGCTGTCTAAATTTTCTTATTTAAGTTCGTTTGATGATTATGATATCTCATTAGCCCTAATTTAATAAATAATTGAAATCTCTAATCTACCTAATCTATTATAACCCATGCTTTATTAAGTACCTGCAGTTGTGTATGTATTCTAAAATTTTACGTGTATCAAGTTGTTTTTGCCTTTGACCTATATTTATTATATATTAGTTCGTCCCAGGTGGCACCTTCAAGTGACTAAAATGCTTCACTTTGAAGTTAGTTTCCTAGCTAATTTTTAAATTATATAGAGTATGTTACGTTTTTTGGGATCTCGGAAGTAGAGAAGACAACCACGAATACTTTTTAAAAACTTTTATTGTCTGGTTTAATAGTCGAACCGACTAAAATGAATAAAACGATTACCGACGAAAAGGCGATACTATCTTTTAGTTTTTACATTTGATAACTGAACGGCAGTGTTGCCAGAATGAATATAGTTCGATCTTAAATTATTTTACATACACAACATTTCTTCTCTCCTTTCGAACTGCAACGTCTACGGTGAGTATTTGCGGGGAGGGCGGTGTTCTCTTGTCGAACGACGCACTATGAAGGGAGAAGAATTTGCATCTTGATGAACTGGGCTACCAGATGGCGTATGAAACTCTGGAGTAACTGGCTCGGCAGGAGCACCTCGAAGATTCCTTGGATTCAGCGGAGTTGATGGTGCTCTCGGAACTGTAACACCATTACCGGAGAACTGAACAGTTACACGTCGTGGCACATCCTGCTGGCTTGACTTTTCTGCTTCGGGTGCTTCAACCATGAGATGACCGTTTGCACCGAGCCTCGAACGAATTTGATCGATGTGACGCTTGAACCGTTTTCCAGCGTAGTCGATTTCGTAGTGGAGATCTCCTAGTCGATCTGCAATTACACCAGGAATCCACTTGTCCATACGGGAATTACCGGAAAGAAAATAGATAGGTTGACCCGAGCTGAATTCACGAAAAGTTCGGTCAAAATTGGTTTGCTGCTTTGTCGTGACTCTCAGGTGAACATCTTCAGGCTTGAGGAGATCTAAACGCGTTCTGAGGTTTCACCCAAGGAACAATTTGGACGGTGATTCTCCGGTGGTTGCATGTGGAGCTAAACGATACTTCTGTAAGAAAACGTTCAGGTTTGAATGCAACGTCGACGCTGTGGTTCCCATTGCCTTCAGTGCATCCTTCGTCGTCTGAACGTAACGTTCGGCCTGACCATTCGTTGCGGGGTGGTAGGGGGCCGACAACTTGTGGTACTTGACTCCACTTTTCTGCAGAAACTCCTTGAATTCCGCGGCCGTAAATTGCGGACCGTTGTCTGAAACAACAGTGACTGGCGCTCCATAACGGGAAAATAGCTCGTCCATAATCCCAATCGTTGCTGCTGTTGTTGTAGAGGCGGTGACCTTGACCTTCAACCATTTACTGTATGCATCGACTACAATCAGCAGCATTGAACCTGCCACTGGACCTGCATAATCAATGTGTATCCTCTCCCAGGGGCCTTTGGGATACTGCCAGTGATGTTCGCTGAATTTGGGTGGAGCGTGCGCTTGACGAGCACACTCACAGCAAGATTTCACCGTTCTTTCGATGTCCGCATCGATTCCTGGCCAGTAAACAAACGAACGTGCAAGTCCTTTCATTTTCACAATACCAATGTGTGCTACGTGAAGATCTTTTAACACTGACGTACGGAGAACGGACGGTACTACTACTCGATGCTCAAATAGCAAACAATTTGCAGCAAGTAAGTATTTTGCCTCCGGTGCTTTGTAGCCAGATCGTGACAGATCGGTGCCTGCTTCCAACAGTTGAACGATCTTACCAAGGCTAGGATCTTTGCGCGTTCACGAGCGATGTGTTCAGCGCGAATTGGTAGTTGTGCGATTTGGTGAAGGGCAAACAGATCGAACTCGTCGTCACCAATATCTCTTCCCTCACAGAAAGATAGTTTGTTTACTTCGTTGGTAGTCTGCATTGACGTTCTCTTTCGTTGATTTGTACACGACATCGTAATGAAAGTGTGCCAAATAATCAGCATAATTGGCCATTCTGCTGATACACAGGATTGGAAGCGATTTCGTCGGGTGCAGAATTTGACTCAATGGCTTATTATCGGTGATCAGCGTGAATCTTCGAGCGTATAGGTAGTAGAAAAACTTCTTGACTGCCCATACGATGGCGAGAGCCTCCTTATCAATCTGCGGGTAACGTTGTTCCGTGGGAGACATGGAACAGCTAGCGTATGCTATCGGGCGTTCCAGTCCATTTCCCAGTCGGTGTGAACGAACAGCTCCCAAGCCGGTTTTGCTTGCGTCCGTGATTTGATGTCTTCGTATGCTGTGACCCGCTCATGTTTCCACACAAAAGGTTATGTCGCGCAGACAGCAAGCTCGAGTGGAGAGATTGGGAATGAAAGCGTTGTAGTATGTGGCTTTTTCCAAAAACAGCTGTAGCTCATCCGGATTTGATGGACGAGCTGCATTACGAATGGCTTCGATGTGTTGGTCCGATTTGTGCAACCCGTTAGCGTCAATTTTGTGGCCCAGGCATTCGATAACCGGGGTGGCGAAAACACATTTTGAACGATTTAGACGTAAACCGTGATGCTTCATTCTTTCGAAAACTGCTGTGAGGGCAATCAGCAGGTTTTCGAAACAATCTGCAAATACTATAACATCGTCATAAAAATTAATGACATTGGACAAACCTTGAAGCACTGCTTCCATACGACGTTGCCAGATCGCAGGGATGTTGACTGCACCGTAGACCGCTCTTGTCGGACGAACCAACCCATGTGTCGATTGGGAGGTGGGTGTAAGCATCCGTCACGTCCAAGTGACAGAACAGACTTGCCCCTCTCATTTGATGGAAGATGGATTCGATTTTAGGAATCGGGTGTTCGTCGATGATCATCATAGATTTCCATTCTTCTTCACTACGATGTGTGTGGGGGATGCCCATTCGGAGTATTCGATTCTCTCGTACACACCTGCTGCAAGCTTCTTGTCGATTTCTTGTGCATACTGGCTCTTCAATGCCAGCGGTACGTCTCGAGCTTTAGCAAAAACTGGAACTGTACCTGGTTTCAGATGCACGGATGCAGAAGGTCCTATCAGCTTACCAGGAGTGTCGCTGAAAACGTCCTCGTAGTTTGCCAGCAGCTTCGATAGAGACTGGCGTTGATCCATCAGCAAAGTAGAAGGGGTAGACACTAACGATTGCACCGCACCACTTTGGGCGAACAGCTCGTTCAGATTCACTTCTCTCGTCAATTGTGCAATCCACTCTCTACCACAAAGCGTATCATAGTCTCCAGACCAGGCATTGAAAATCATTTGCATTCACTTCATACATTCACTTACATTCATTTGCCTCTAACTTTTTTCATCAACAACATTCCGCAAAATGATGTATAGAGCCTTTATAAGTTTTATCATTAGCTATAAATTTTGATCACAACTCAAATCTTTATCTCTTATGCATCACGAACCACAGCGGGTAGAACTTGTTACTGTTTTTCAGTGAATGTAAAATACATTCACTGAAAAACAGTAGTGGCTTCTGTTCGCTCTGGTTCGTCATGCATAAGAGATACGGATTTGACTTGTTTACAAAAGTTGTAGCTAATAACAAAACCTACAAAAACTTTATAAACTATTTTGTGGAATGCTGTTTAAGAAAAAAGTTAGAGGCAAATGAATGTACATGAATGCACGAAATGAATGCAAATGATTTTCCATGCCTGCTCCAGACACGACATACAAATCAAGTTTACGAGTAGTCGTCCCGATGCTAACGTTCACTGGAAGACGTCCCAAACACTGAATGCGGTGCCCAGTGTAACTGGAGAATTGTCGGTCTGTTGGCAACAGTGTGAAGGAGGATTTGATCGCTCGTATTTAGCTTCACTGATGATTCCGCACGGTGCTCCGGTATCCACTTCCATTTCTAGCTTGTGTCCTTCGATGGTTACGTTGATGACTCGCTTCCCTGACGTGGTGACGGAATGAATTTTGCCAAGTGACTGAACGAGGTCCACTTGCAAGGCTGGTTGTTCTTCCGATTGCACCTGGGAGGTTGATTGGTCCTGAGATTGCTGCCTTCCAGTTCTGCAGACTTTGGAAATGTGGCCCTTCTTCTCGCAGTTGTAGCACTTTGCATCACGGAACTTACAATGATTACGAGAATGTTTACCGCCACATCCACTACACACACTCGGGTCGTGTGTTTGTTTATCACTCCACTTTTGTTTGTGCGGTTTTAATTGATATGACGAGGAGGAACTGCCAGAGTTTACTCTCCGTGTCTTCGGCCGCTCGTAGCCTAGCTTATTGGTTGCCTCTGGAATCAACGATGATCTTGCCGTTCTTACCTCCTTGGTCGTGTTGCGGGTGGCCTCGAGTGTGTGTGCAACTTCAAAAGCCGATTTGAACGTTTCTGGCTTCTTGGCGATAATCTCGTCACACATCTCGCTCGATTTAAGGCCGTGTAGGAGCTGCTCTATTAGCATCCTATCTAAAAATTCACCATACTCACAATATGCAGCACCTTGCTTGAGCCGGAGAACAAAACTGGAAACTGATTCGCCTTTCTGCTGCACTATTTCCCGGAATTTGATGCTCTCAACGTACTTGTCCTTTGCCTGGTCAAAGTGGTCGACTAATGCCGTACGGAGCTCATCGTATGGGATCTCTGCCGGATCGCGGAGACTCACTAGGAACTTGATGGCGTTGTTCAGTTCCGTACCCATATGCACTCGAGCATAGTGTGCGTATTGAGCTGCAGGAATATTGCTCAATTGCAGAGCCCACTCAAAGCGGTTGAAATAATCCGACACAGACGTGTTATCCGTGGAACGATACTCGGATACTGAAAACGAGGGTGTTTTGACGGTAGGCACTGTTGCTTCTCTAGCGGGGTTCACTTGTCCCAAAGTTTCAATGGAGGATTTTAGGGCATCGGCTAACATCCGCGTGAGAGATTCCATTAGCTCTGCAGTAGCCATTTTGCTTTTCGCGGGACCGAAACGTACGCGTCTTACTTTCGACCGGAAAAATTGCCTCTAAATACCACTTCTGACACCAAAATGTTACGTATTTTGGGATCTCGGAAGTAGAGAAGACAACCACGAATACTTTTTAAAAACTTTTATTGTCTGGTTTAATAGTCGAACCGACTAAAATGAATAAAACGATTACCGACGAAAAGGTGATACTATCTTTTAGTTTTTACATTTGATAACTTTACGGCAGTGTTGCCAGAATGAATATAGTTCGATCGTAAATTATTTTACATACACACCAGAGTATATGCTCCAACTACACTCACACGTTTCCACTATGTCGTCCCACAAAATAACGTATGGATATGTCACAATAGAAGCACGTCATAGTGGAAATCACGAGCCATAGTTCAAAAACTTATCCCAAATCAAAATGAAGCACATATAAGTTTAGTTACAATACCATGTACAAAAATGGTGTTTAACATTGTTCCCTGAGTAATGCTTCAATGAAAACATCAATGCAAGCTTGTCGAGCAAGTAGAAGGAGCACTGTTGGGCACGTTCTGAAATATTTCAATAGTATAATTCCAGTGCAAGCCCAAATAAACCTATCTGTGTAAAATAAATAAAATAACAGTGATTTGCGGAAAAAAAACCTACCAGTATTGCACCCAACGTCAGTGTCCATACGTAAGCGTACTACGCCGCGGCTTTAAAAAAAAAGGAGTAACAGGTGTGATAATATCACTTCAGGCTAGAACTTTGGTTTTCTCATGCAATGGTTCATCAGAGAAGGATAGCTCAGTAATCCTCATCGCATGCTCATGACGCTATTCTGCCACGGCATGAGCCAACAATGCCGGACCTAAACCAACCGTCTCCAACGCTCCACTATGAAGCATAAGATTAGGCCCACCCACCAACGTCCAGGTTAAAAACTAGCCAATGGGAGGGTGTTTTAAGTGGATGTGCCTCCTTGGACATAAATACGTTAGGCACGGTAAGCATGACGGGCATTACGGATCATGCATCACACAATTTAAACGCAAGTCTGTGATCTGATTTCCTATAGAGTTTAAGAATTCAAATAGTTTTTGTAGCAATGAGATCTCGGTTTCAGAAATAAATGTATTGTCTGTGCGTGTATCTATGTATTCCGTATCATTTTTCAGAGACCTACCAATACAAATACCATAAACGAACTGTATCACGGATGGGTAAACTATCCCACAAATGGTTTGGATGATACCCTGAACACGTCGTTAATCTCTATTTTATGGTTATTTTTAGTAGGGCTATAATTAATCCAAATGGTTCGATGGACCAAATCTCAGAAATTGAGACAAATTTTTATATCTATATGCTATGAATTTTATTCGAGATCCCAAACACAAAACAAAATCGAAAACTTTTTAATTAAAAAAAAAATCACGAAATTGAGAGATTTAAATCAATCCCCAGGATTAGAGTCTCTTGTTTGAGTTTTTTACGTAGGATTACGTCTTTCGGCAACATATTGGGGGTGCAATTTCAAAAAACCAAAGTCTACCGCGTTACGAAATGTGGTCAGGTTTTGACCACTTATAACTCAGTCAAAAGCGGATGGACTTTAATTATGAACCAGCCAATCGATTG